AAATAGTGGTTGTTTCTTCGAAATTAACTGTTCTGTATTTGCAATGCAAAAGGGGAATGTGGTGGGCGGTACGACATGTATTTTGCGATCTGTATTAGCCCTATATATACTGTCTTGTATTTGCCATTTATTTTATATCTAAAATACCGCACGGTTAAAAAGAATTCTGATTCAATTTATAACAAGAGGCCCAGGGGCCACAGTGCTCACCTGAGCACATCAGGCTTGAATTTACCCCCCCCCCCCTTCCAGGCGTTCATCATTTGAACAAACTAGAATCTACACTACCTGAGGATGATTCCATATAATTACCCCGGGTATCACTAATCATAGCTTTGAAATACTTGAAAAGAAGATTTTAAAAGGTTTCCCAATATTTCCCTATGTAAAACTTGGGTCGGCCATTTTGGCCTCACCATATCCCAAGGGCAGGGGGTCATGATTTGAACAAACTTGAATCTACACTACCTGAGGATGATTCCACATGAATTTCATCTTTCCTGGCCCAGTGGTAATTGAGAAGGATTTTTAAAGATATTTCCTATATATTCCTATGTAAAACTTGGGTCGGCCATTTTGGACCCATCCTTGCCCCGGGGGTCATGATTTGAACAAACTTGAATTTACACTACCTAAGGATGATTCCACATGAGTTTCATCCTTCCTGGCCCAGTGGTTCTGGAGTAGAAGATTTTTAAAGATTTTTCCTATATATTCCTATGTAAAACTTGAGTCGGGCATTTTGGCCCCACCCTTGCCCCGGGGGTCATGATTTGAACAAACTTGAATCTACACTACCTGAGGATGATTCCACATGAGTTTCATCTTTTCTGGCCCAGTCGTTCTGGAGAAGAAGATTTCTAAAGATTTTTCTTATATATTCCTATGTAAAACTTGGGTCGGCCATTTTCGCAGGAGGAATAAGGAAGCATACAAAATTTTCTACCTTGGCTAAATCAGTGCTGCATTATGACGTCATAGTAGGCAAGATGACGTCAATTTTAGAAATAAAGTTTTCGTAATATTGGTATTTAGCTATGTAATTTAACTCTAGAAAATGATTAGAAACGTGTAAACATTAACAAAAATAAAATGTGTTTATCTCGTTATGCTGTATAGAAGTCTTTATGATTGAAATCTATTATCGATGACGTCATATGTGTACATCAGGTAACCTGGAAATTGATTATGTCGTGTAAAGAGAATTTGGCTAAGACGGCATGTTCAACGATACATAAAATGGAGTTTAAAAGGAAATATCAAAAATACTGTGATAAATTCATATGGAGTTCAATTAATTTAACAGGTATGCTAATTTATTTTCATCGATTATATTCTCTTTCGAAGACAGTCAGCTATATTACGTATCCCGATCGGCCTATCGTCTGTCATTCTTGACCAAAAAATGCAACAGAACAACAATAAGCTGGATATTTCAAAACATACGATTTGTTAATATTGAAAGTTTGCGTTAAAACAAACTTGGAAAGTGCTGCTAGAATCCCGAGTTAAGCACGGTTGTACGAAAAATCTCGATTCATATGTATAAAATTCAAAACAAAGGGTAAGGTTTCGTGCGAATGTGTGGAATAAATATTTTACGGACAAGATAGTGGCATTCTAGCAGCACTTTTTAGATAAAATAGATGTTTTTCAGCTAAATTACATACTCAAAGAAATTATCAAACTCCGGGGTAATGTTGTTCTGTAAGCCTTTTTATTAAGGAAAATTTTGCTATTAATAGAAGTCAAGTGATGCCATGGCGGTAATGCACGTCTTTGCCTTAGACACACTTTTATCTGTATGCAATAGTAAATAACAGTTTACGTTTATCAGTGGTTTTGGTAATTTATTAAACTTAATTTTCTTCAAAAAGTCTAAATTTCCCGAGAAATTACTTATATGCTTCCTTAACATACCTGCGTTGGCCCCACCCTTGCCCCGGGGGTCACGATTTGAACAAATTTGAATTTACACTACCCGAGGATGCTTCTACATGAGTTTCATCTTTCCTGGCCCAGCAGTTCTGGAGAAGAAGATATTTTAAAAATGCCATTAATTTTTAACAAATTCATGATTATCTCCCCTTGGAAAAGTGCGTGGCCCTTCATTTGAACAAAATTGAATTCCCTTTACCCAAGGATAATTTGTGCCAAGTTTGGTCGAAATTGGCCCAGTGGTTCTTGAGAAGAAGATGAAAATGTGAAAAGTTTACAACAACGACAACGTCTACGACGACAACGACGACGACGACAACAACAACAGACAACGGACAAATTTTGATCAGAAAAGCTCACTTGAGCCTTCGGCTCAGGTGAGCTAAAAAGCAATTAAAAATATTAGATGCTGATGTTTTCCTATTATAAATTTTGGAGACATGTTTCCCTGGGAATGAAAAAAAAATATCACTTTTGAAAACTTATTCCACACAGAATATACACTTACTTTCGATCCAAACTAAAAGTGAAATTAGCAATAATAGAAAACATCCATTCTCCTCGTGCAAATTCCTTCGAGTCCATTTTTGCATTTTATTTTATAAACTAAAAATATAACAGTTATATCACTGAAGATGGAAATGTTTTCATAGAAGATATATTCAAAAATCCAAATTTCAATCATATACTGTTGAGTAGAAAAGAGTAATTCAGATTAAACCGGGGATGTGTCTTATTTATAAACTTGAACTTCATTTCAACATTGCCATTTAAAGCTCTTTGGTTTGTAACTTTCCTTTCAAAAAAAGTTCTTCATTTTTTTATCTATTTTTCACAAATATAGGAACGAGTTGAGTTACACAAATTGTCATTCCAGCCACCTCCGGAATACATTTCGATGCAATCTTCTCCCGCAAGTGCGTTCGGTTCCCCATCATACCAGTTTGTGAAATTCAACGCTGTGTATGAGTGTTTCCAGTAAAAAATGCCCTTAGAATACTCATCTGTACCCCCTATCCACCAATCATTTCCAGAGACTGCAAATTACAGAATATGTGTAGCTAAATGACATATAAGTAAAATATTTAATGCGGTAATTATTTGTTATTGTTATTTTATTTTCATTCGTAAAAGTACTTGCGTTTTCTTTTTTCAGTAAAAAGAACTATTGATAACTGATATTTCCCTTTGTCTAAATAATATAATCTGATTTGATGAATTGAAAACTTTAATCAATCAAGGACAACAGATAAATTTTACGTTTTTCTCCAATCCAAGATTGTTCTTCTTCGGTTTCTATTGCCAAAAGATTTGCCCCCATCGAAATGCAGCTATTCTGAAAAGAAAAAAACCCATAAAAGAACACACAATTATATTTAAAACTGATATAGATCGAATTTTCCAGCAAAAAGATCCGACATCTCTTTTGATGCATATGACCATTTCTTGCGTTTTGTTGAAATTTTATGAAGAGCATTATTGGTTTATCCAGAGTAATTTCCATACATACTTGAGAGGCCTGCCAGGAGAGTGCATTGTTTACAAGGCAATATTTCTTGTCCCCAATATCCTGCCATGATGAAGGACATTCTATACTTTGGCGTTTTTCATTAGCTGTAAAAATCGATTATCATGGTACAAAATTAAATCAATTTATTTTTAAGTAAAGAATTGATTCTGTAAAAAAATCATCCATGCAATAATATGAACTCTATAAAATAATCATGAATCCAAATTTTTGTCAGTATACTTATATCCTATGATTAAGAGACAGAAGCTTTTCAAATCCTTAGGGATGGCACATTACTCTATATTCAAATTTAATAAGGTAAATTCTATAAATATTTAATAAAGATTCCTTAAAAGATGTTTTATCGATCTTTTCTCTAAAGATTGAGTAGAATTTCGATGTAGATTAAAAACGGTTTTGCGTTATTCTCATATGTTTGCAAAATGATTAAAAAGTTTCATGAGAACAAAATGCAGCCAATATAGAATATTGAATTAGGATATAGAATTACTTACATTCTTGTGTACAGAATGGTTTTCCGCTAGTTAGAGAAGTGCAATGTCCACTACAAGAGGTTGTCCCACAGGATTTAGTAAACTCCTTTAAAAAAATAATATTTAATCAATTTCCCTATCTTGTTGGTACATTCGAAATTTAAAGAATTTTCATTAATTACAATGCATTGTAAAGAAGCCCTATGTGGCCAGTTCAGGGAAAGAAATATTTTTTATTGCGTTCAATTGCAATATAATTGCGTTTAAACACACAGCACTTTGCGTTTAATCGCTAAATATTGTTATTAAACACAAAACTTCTTTGTATTTTTTTTTTGTTTTTGTCTTATTTTCTTGAATATATGAAAGAACTGATTTTTTAAACAATGTATCCATTTTTACATTATTGTTTTTTTTTTCTTCAATACGTTAACAAATAAGGAAAATATTTCCCTTCTATGATTGACATTTCTCTTAGACTGAATGTTCGTATGATAGACTTTGTAATTATATCTAAATACAAATAAGATGATCAGAAATTTCTAGCATTAACAATATCGCTCAAAAAATGATAATAATAAAAAGTAGGCGAATTTATACTGTTATGTGAATTTGGGTGATACATCAATTCGATCAAATGCATTTCATTAATGAATCATTTATATATCCTATATTTGTTCAATATTTTCTTTTCTTTTGAGTTTTAAAGTAACTAATGGATACTGTTTTAATTTTAAGTCGTAATTGCAAATTGCCTCATTTTCAACTAAAAACAGTACAAGAATTCGTAGAAACAACCCTTACATGTAGAATTGTTTACAATCAGTTCAATTTTACAGAGATATAAATCTTGAAGATGTACACAGGTAATCATTTATGCACAAGAAAATTAAAATTCTTTCCAGATTTAGCTCTGTCGCTCCCCCAATCTAATGTTTTCATACAAATAATCTGCTGATCTGTAACAAGGATTTATCCATCCCCACCCCACCCCATCCCATCCTAAAAAAATCAATAGTAGATCGTGATTGGAAACATTAGTATCATTACTGACCTGAGGCTGATTTTCCATTTCAATGTACTCACAACCTGAACCCAGTATTAAACTAAATCCCGGGTCACCATGTTTTGCTGATATCAGCTCACATTTCAGATGTTGTTTTTGGTAGTTCACTGACTTGCATTTACCGTTCTGTAAACAATCTCGAACACACTGTTTCCGTCCTAAAATAGGTAAAACATTTACGATCCTGCTTGTTCTAACGCAATGTCCCGATAACGTTACCTTTATAGGGTTGTCAGTTTGTTCAGATTCAGCATAATACATTGCAAAACAAAATAAAATCACTTTAAATACCAACATTATAGAAACGATATAAATGTCATTTTAATTCAGAAAGGATCCCAGAAATGTAATTTCTTTAAAATAAATTTTCAAAAATAAATGATACGTAAACGGTTGAATAGCACAATAGGTTTAAGCATGAAGAAGCAGTTTCAGTGAGTAATTCTAAATCAATAAAACCTTCAAAATAGTAAGAATATTAAATTGGATCTATAAACCAATAAATTTGATTGATTCATGGAAGGAATGTTCCTTTGTGATAATAAATAACAAAATTTTACAAAATTAGAATCTCAAATACTTTCACTAACTAATAAAAAAACAACAAAGACATGAATCATCTTCTGTAAGGATGTGTTTCTCTTTGAAATGAAATAACTCATTTTAATGAAAAAAATATTCTGTATATTCTTAAGATAAGTCCCATTATAATTTTTCCTTTAACGAGATGTTCAAGAAGAATTGTAAGCGTTTGGTTTACTTTTTCTTTTTTATATGATATATTCTATATTTTTACGAAAACAAAATGATTTTTGGTCTCCATTTGCTAGTTTGATTTCATTTATTTTTTTATGAATTATTTATATTTAAGCAATGGCCCTAATTCTTGGTCATATTATTCGAGTATAACCAGGGACCCTTTATATCAAAAGTCGTAAATTTAAGCCTTAACTAAGGTGTATTTCCGGGGCTTGGGCCAAAATTTAAGTTAGGCGTAATTTGCGTTTCACGAATTGGCGTTAATCTAGTCGTAAACGATACGCTTAGTCTCAGGACTGGACTAAGTCCTTAACAACGTTGCATTGCACATGCGCAAATACCTAAACATTGTCCATTGTGCATATATCTGTAATACATGTACATCAAAGTACAGATTAACACAATATTCTAGATTAATGAATACTGGCACTGATTAGAAAAGAAACCTGCATGGCTTTATAGGGTTTTGAAGGAGGCATGTTTTTTTAAACCTTGTAAAAATAAATTTATTTTTTACATTTTCAATATTGAAAGTCTTAAAAGTGAAAGGAGAATGTATTACAATCAAGCTGGAATATCTATTTTAGAGTTTTAATTACAGACACTCGTGGGGGGAGGGGGTTACTGTCAGTAACTGTAACTGTTATACCCTACCCGAAATTGATACAGGTTAATGACTACGCAGTCGATAATTAATGTCTAGATTCCATAAAAACTGATTCGTGTACATATAATTAATTAGGTTTTAGACAGAAAAAGGTTTTAAATCTGTATTTTCGTAGGAAATATATATTTGCATGAAACAAGAGGATTTACACAGGAACATATTTTAAATCAAGAAATAAACTTTACATATTTACTACTAAGGATTCTGTATGAAAATGCATTCTATGTCTAAAAAAATACTCATAGTTTTGTCAACTCGAATGCATGATTCATTATCTGGCTTATGTTTATTAAAATGGGACGAAGGTTCATAGAGTGATTACGATATACTTAACTCTAGGTACATGTAGCTAAAGAAAATAGTTCCTTACTATTTGCTTAATTGTGTTTGCGCCCGAACGTATGCCTCACCATTGGCATGTGTGGACGTAAAATTTTGGCCTAAATTTAGTCCCGGCATCAAGATACGCTCTTTGATAGAAGGCAAACCGTTATGCTTGTCCCAGCTTTACGCCGGGGTAGCTCTAAGAATGGGCGTGTGATCTTCGATGAAACAGGCCCCAGGTTTGGGTCAGTTTACGCTTTTTAATCCAATGTCACATATACTGCGACATGAGGCCTTATTGTATACTAGTAAGTTTTTTTCCAGTGGAAAAAAGGGTCACCGTGTCTTGTTGTTGCATTTATCTTCACTTCGGAATCAAAATGTATCATAGACATAATTCGGATATATCTTGTGTATTTTATAATCATTCATTTTAGATTTGGAAATTACAATCTTTGCTTTTAGCGATAATTGTTTTGAATTTTGTTTATAGCCAATTTTCCCTTATACTTAAGCATGTACATATACTGAGGTCAATGTTAATTACATATAAAATAGAATAAATGAGTTTTCCATTATAATTTTTAAAACAATATAGCATTAATGGCGCACTTAAATCCAAATATGTATATGGTGTTGCAATATTGAACTATATGGAAATATCAAATAATATTCAGCCTCAAAAGTACATTAATCAATACAAAATTTAAGCAAAACATGCACGGTTTCCAAAAATTCAGAGGGATCGGGTGAATTGGAAGAGTGAGCATCCCTTGCCGACCGGTCACATCCGTCGTCGGCTACATGTCACGATCGGGAAATAACGGAAAAATCCCAGGACAATTCACTTTTTACTTGTATATAATTGCCTAACTATTTGTATGAAAAATGTCAGTCAGCATTTGACTTTATTATTATAAATTGCATTTCCCAACAAATTCATTGTATCGACATATTTGAATTTCTTGCTGTCCTAAATCTTTACATTTAATAAACGCCTCTTTAATGTAAATGTTATATAATTTTAGCTGAAGTTCTCCATGCATATTTCATGCACACGACAATGGCATTTAAATCAATTAAATAATGTTAGCTAGTAAAAAGCATCGCAAATGTAAATAGTCGACAATATTTCATGAACTTAAAGTTATTCTTTCGGGCAAGACCATAAATGGGGAGGTCCCGTGACACTATAGGTGCTGGTAATTGTTCAATGGCTTTAAAGCTTACAGTTTAATACTTTCTCTTTTATATATAAATATATATATATATATATATAGAGAGAGAGAGAGAGAGAGAGAGAGAGAGAGAGAGAGAGAGAGAGAGAGAGAGAAAGAGAGAGAGAGAGAGATACGTGGGTCGGTACGTAATCAAATCTTCTGAGAAGGCCTTCGGCATTCACAGGATTTGATCACGTGACCGACCCACTTCAATTCCCATTTAAGTTTATAAACTTTTTAGTTATTTCTTAATTATCATCTTAATGTTTTTTGAAAGTCAAATTATTTTTGTTTTGCTATTTGATGAGATCATTCATTTTCTTTGATTTCGAAATGAATTTTGAGAAAACAAATTCTCAAAAGAATACAACAAATTGTAAAATATTGCTAAAATGTGGGTTGACTGAATTTTTGTCAATCATACCTTCTGAACCAAAACATATGCTTTACAGATATAAAAGTAAACAAGGATGTTAAACATAGAAAACATACAGAATAAATGAAGCTAAAAATAAAACTTGCATAATATCAATAAGATGAATGCAGAGGATTACGATCAATTCAAAATTCTTGTCTTCATATAAATAAAACGAGATATACTCTTCAAAAAAAGAAACGCATAGTAGGAACAATGCCCCGAAAATTTTTGATAGTTTTGTCATACCTTTTATTTTTGTATGAATACGATGTATTCGAGTGAAATGAATGATTTTTTAATGCAATTGTTAACTTTACAGCTATTCTACAAGTCTCACAGACAAAAATACCTGATTTTGCAAAATTTTCCCCAAAATTTTGATCTCAATTTTCATTTGTTGAATTACGATGCAATTCCTTCAGGTACAAAGGGGCTATCAAAAGCGGGGGTTCTCGATATTTTGAATCTTGTTTTATCTGAAAAATGACGCTTCCTTTAATTGCTGCATCTGAATGTTGCGTGGCACAAAAAGGAAAATGGGCGACTGGAAGCAGGGGTACCGCAATCTACAGTTGCAAGAGGTTTTAATGTTACACATAGACCATATCTAACCTATAAAACATAACAATTAACATCGAAAACCCAATGTTCGCAAAAAATAGGCAGACTACGTGTGACATCAGCAGACAGCATCACTTCCGAGGAGACGAAATTGCTTGAATGTAATGCAAGGACGTCATCTAAAGCATTAGCTATCTCTGAACTGCACAGATCATCTCACAAGACCGTTTTCAGTTGACTACGAATTATTGTAAAAGGATTATTCATGCCGTTGTTCCGACCCCACAACACCTCAAATATCGACTTCAAAGATTTCAGATGAATAGAGTATGACCACAGCATCACTGCTGAACATTTTGGTTAACCTACTAGTCCAGAATGTTTATCTGAAAGCCTCTTATAAGTTTAAGAGTGCTAATGCTTTTTAATGAAGGTTAGATAAATAACTGCCTCCAGGACGTTAAAAAAGTTGGTGGTGGTAGTGTAATGATATGGAAAATGGTATTATAAGAAAGTAAGATTGATTTGGTTCGAATTCAATGGACTTTGATGGAAAAAGGTACTCTAACCATGTTCTACCTACACATACCCATTCAATTTTGCAGCATCCTAGAGCCGTGTTGTAATCTCACAATACACAGCCACATATGGCTCGTTTTACACACCTATTCTTCCAAAGAAACAACAACCTGTTTCAGTCCAAGTCATCTAAATCGCTAGATTTAATCCAAATTAAGCAGCATTGGACAAAATGGATTAACATGATTTGCCAAAGACAATTGCATCCCCAGACTCTGCAACAGCTGACTAAAGTTCTACATTTGGAGTGGGAGAGTATTCCTATGCAGTTTTTATTACACACATTTGCTTCCATTAGATGCTGTTTGTGGCTATCATTTGTGTCTGCGGGGGGCATACCAGATATTGATCTTTAATGGTCTTAAACTGACTATAATTTTTAAATTGTTGAGTAATTATGACATTTAGATAGTATTCCTGCTGCTCACCACATTTCTGTTTTATCAATGCATCATTTTACTAAAAAATCTTTATATTCTATTTGTCACTAAAATTCCACGATGCGTTTCTTTTTTTTGAAGAGTATATATAATGTTCACCTCAAATGTACATGTATGTGGCTATATCTAATGGACAATGTTATGATCATGAAGATGCATTCATTTTTTTTTTATTTTTAATGACCAATAAAAGGCCACGGAGAAAATATTTAATCATTAAAAATAACAGAAACGAATCCACAATACAATGTTGTTATGTAATTATATTGCATGGCCAGCACGATAACGGAAGA